CTCCTCGGTGGCCGCTGGGCGTGGCGAGAGTGGGTCGAGTCGAGAGGGGATCGAGGAAGAAGAGGGGGAGGATGATCGAGGAGGAGGAGGAGGAGGAGGAGGAGGAGGAGGAGGAGGAGGATCGAGGACGAGGGAGGGTCGAGGACTGTCGAGTAGGGGGAGGAGGAGGAAGAGAAGGAGGAGGAGGAGGAGGAGGAGAAGGAGGAGGAGGAGGATCGAGGATAATGATGATCAAGGAGGAGGAGAAGCAGGAGGAGGAGGATCGAGAAGGAGGATCGAGGAGAAGGATGATGCTCCAGGTGGAGGAGGAGGACCAGAGGGAACCCGCGATGAAGCAACGATGCTGCCGCAGCAGACCCTTCTGTCCCAAGTCCCCTCCTCAAAAGTCCCTAGCTGGACTCGACGAGGATTGAGGAGGAGGAGGATCGAAAAGGAGGAGGAGTACGACCAGAGGGGACTGTATTCCTATTCCTCTATCCCTATCGTTTGTATCCCTACCCCGATCCAAAATCCAGATCCCTACCCTATCGCCATCCCCATCCCGATCCTAACCCCTATGCTGCTATACCCAGAGCCCTATGTGTTCATCCCTACCCAGATCCCTCTCCCTATCCCTATCCCCACATCGTGGACCACCCCCGTGGCCTTCCATCGTCACCCCCAGTCGTGGCCCCCATCGTAACTGCGCATTTAAGAATACTCTACAAGAAGGGTACCATCTCCTTCTGGCGAGCGATAAGGACTGCAACATGGGTAACTCAACGAGGTGTCCGACGAAAGCCCCTTTTTGAAAAGGAACCACCCCCCAACCGTAGAAGTGTTGGCCAACTTTGCACCTATGGTCGATGGATTCAAAAAAAGGCTCGCGCGGGGCCCCCGTTTTTGAAAGGAACCACTCTGCACCCGCGCAGCTACTGCATATGTTCGAGCAGATGGTCGCTTCAATTGAATCGGCCCCAGGCGAGAGCACCATTCCAAAAGGAACCGCTACGCGTCAATGCAGCTGCTTCACTAGTATACGCTCTCTGTACTATCCCCAAGAACTCCCAGCGATAACACGAATTTTTGGACGATCCAACCTTCACTCGTGCAAGTGTTCCACACACATACAATGTGTCAACTATGTTGTGGGCAAGTCTCAAAAAGACAGCCCCCATCCGAAAACGACCAGCCCTCCAGCCCTGTTAACCCCACCAGCCTTCTGGGCGTATGTGGTCTAGGGCGGCTCCTCTTCAAACACGCTTCCTCCCCTTCGGGGAGGGGTTCTCACTGTTCCTTATTAGTGAACACCCCCTTCCCACACGCGACTAGTAGCCAAGCGGGAGCCATGAGGGCACCCCACCACCATCTATTGCAAAAAACCATACAAAACACAATCTGCCTCCAAATCCGGAGCATGCGCAGCCAACCCGATGCGGCCTCCCCCCGCCATCCCTTTTCAAAAAACAATACAAGGTACATTTGGCGGCGGCGGCGGCGGCGGCGGCGGCGGCTGCGGCGGCTGCGGCGGCGGCGGTGGCAGCGGCGGCGGCAGCGGTGGCGGTGGCGGCATCGGTTGCGGCGGCAGCGGCTGCGGCGGCAGCGGCTGCGGCGGCAGCGATTTGGCAGCGGGGGCGGCGGCGGCGGCGGCGGCGGCGGCGGCGGCGGCGGCGGCTGGCGGCGGCGGCGCGGCGGCGGCGGCGGCGGCGGCGGCGGCGGCGGCGGCGGCGGCGGCGGTGGCGGCGGATTGGCCCCCAGTAGCTGCCAATCCAACGACGACTGTTGAATATGCTGAGGCTCGGGCCCGACTCGGGTGCGACGTATGTGTTGGGAGGGCGGGTGGGGGTGAACGAGACGGCTTACGGGCGGGGAGGGGGTCCTGACCCCTCCCCCTACCACTTCCCCTAGACCTGGACGGGGGTTTCAAAGGCCCCCAGGAGGCCCCCAAAATGACCCCAAGCGGCCCCAAGATGCCCCCCCGAGGCACCCAAAACGCCCAAGAGCCCCCCCGAGGCACCGCCAAGAGACCCCCGAAACGTCCCAAGAGGGCACCAAGAAACGCCCAAGAGATACCCCAAGAGGCTCTGAGAGGCATCCAAGAGACTTCTGGCCCTTTTGCTTGCCCTCCTTTTCCTGCTCCACCTTCCTCCTCCTACTCCTCCTCTTCCTCTCCTCCTCCTCGTCCTCCTCATCCTCCTTCTCCTCATCCTATTCATCCTCCTTCTCCCCATTCCCTCGTCCATCCATCCAGTCTCCTCCTTCTCCTCCTTCCTCCTTCGCGCGGTTCGGCCGTCCCCCTCTTTGCTCCCGCACTTCCCCGATCGCCTCAACTGGCCTGGACATCGTTTCTGGACGGGCTGGTGGGCTGGTTTTCGTTGTTGGCACGCGGGCGCGCGAAGTAAATCGATCGCCGAGTAAGCTTGGGCGGGCCGCGCCGTAGCGAAGGAACAGCCAGCGAAGAAAACTGCGACCGCCACAGAGCGGAGCAAGTCGAAGCGCAGCCAAAAAGGCGCGGGAGGCATCGCGCAGGCACCGAGAGCACGTCCACGAAAAAGCCGAGAAAGATGCCTGAGTAGATGTCGAACGACCGCCCACATGGCCGTAGCGAGTGGATGCCACTGCCACACTTACCCAGGACGGCGGTGACCAGGAAGAAAAATGGCGATACGGGCCAACGAGGGCGGAAGGCGATGGTTGAACCGAAAACAGGAGAACCCCCGGAAACGAGGCAGGAAGCGACGCTAGGCCCAGGAACGCCCCTCCCCCAGGTTTCGCGGCCGTCCAGGAGCGCGGCTGCCAGCCTGGACCGAAGGCGCCTGTCTCCGCGGCGGGGAATCGCCTTCCTCACCCGTGCCATCGCCGCGCCACAGGTACCGCTCGCGCAGCTGTTCCCAGTCAGCCCCGAGGTGCAGCGCGTCGTCCATGGACCGCGCGACTCCTTTGCGGTGGCGGTAGGAATCGGCGGCGGCGGTGCCGCGGCGCCGGCGGCGAGGCTGGCGGCGCCAGCGGCGCATGGAACGCCAGCTGCGGCCGCAGCTGCTTCCAGCTGCTGCCGCTCGTCAGGGCTCAGCTGCTTTTCCAATTGATCGAAGGCCTTCAGCAGCACCCCCAGCCTGCGGGGCATCTCAGGCCGCTGGCGGCGCTCGCCGAGGAAACGGTCGCCGCCGTGTCTGTGGGCCGCCGCGGCGCGCTGGCGGCGACGGCGAGCAGCTGGCGACTCGACGGGCGACGCCTGCTCACCGCGCCGCCGAGCAGCGCCCCGCGGCAGCTCCCTGCCGCGGCCGCCGTCCACCCGCCAATGAACTGCCGCGGCGGCCGCCCCCCGCCCGGGATCGGCCGCTTGCGGCGGGCGCTCGGCGCGCCAGCGGTGACCCCGGCAGGACATAGCGGTCGCCGCGGCCGCCGCGAGAGCGCCCCGCCACTCTGGCTTGAGCCGGAGCGGCTTGAGCCAGAGGCTACGGAGCATGAGCCAAAGGCTACGGAATGGCTGAGGGAGATACGCGAAACGCTTAGAATTGGTGAACCTTTTGGAGAGGACGCGCGCGGCGCGAAAACGAACCCCCGATTTTGAAGAGGAATCGCCCTGCATCCCTGATGCGTTTTGTTTTTGTTGTCAAACCAAAAACTCTGCATGCATATATATATATATATATATACATATATATATATAGATGTATATATATAATATATGTATATATATATATATGTATTTGTATTTGTATATGTACATGTATATATGTGTGTACATATATACGTTGTTCAAGAAAGCGCACGCGCATGCGCGCGGCATCCAGGGCGAAGGCTCAATTGTGAAAGCGGGCCGCCTACATCCTCGTGGACGCTGCGAACTTCAATGGCGGATTCGCTCGAGCGAGTGTTACATTATAACAAAAACGAGCCGCCCTCCACCCTTGCATCTGCTGGCAACTTCAAGCTCAAGATCGCAACTGTTGCTTTCGATGCCCCGAAATGGGGTTGCAGACGGTGAGAGACTGGACAACGCGGGGCAACGAAATTCAAACCGTCGGGGGAATGTGTCCGAAAAGAACTGAGGGGCTGAGGGTCTCCTGCACGCCTTCTTCGGATGGGATCGCCATGATCACTGCCTTGGCAAATCTCGGCGGTTGCTTTCATCGCCTGTTCGACCGCCGCCGATGCGCTCGAGGATAAAGAATGCTGCCCTTGCCTAGGACCTTCGCACTGAACTAACATTCTAAACCGATCAGAATCGCTTTCGAACGATTGTCAGTCAGCAAATCACCCCTTCTCAGTGACAAGCAAAAACACGCTATCGCTGTCAGCTTTCGCTGTTGCCATCAGCGTTGCTTCTTGCACTTCAGTTCAGAAAGTTATCATTCCTCTGGCTTCTCTGCCCCTTGTACTGCAAGGTCTGCGTGAACCCATTAATTCACCAAGATAACGCTGATAACTGATCCTGGAGCGTCTGGAACATCTCACTCTGAGCATTCGACGCGGCGCCTAGGTTCTTCTGAATCTCGCGGGCCTTGTCCATCATCTTGAGGACGAGTGCCACCTGAGTCGTCAGAGTCGCGAGAGTATTCTGCTCATCTGGCGGAAGCGGCATGGCTGACCAAAATCGGATCTATCACGAGTAGAGAATCGCGCTGACCAGCAGTGGCCTGACCTCAGAAAGAACGCTCGAGCCGCCCGTCGGCAGCGTCCCAATTCAGAGCGCAAGGGGCGCACGTTTCGAACTTGCACCAAATTTCCTATGGGCGGCGGTGATGATGGTGATGGTGATGGTGTTGGCGATGATGGTGATGGTGATGATGATGGTGATGATGATAATGATGGCGCCCGCGCGTCGGCCATGGAGGCTTCGGACAGATTTCGACATGCGCGCGCGGCCATCAGGCGCGATCGACCCGCGCGGCACGAGTTGACAGGGCCACGGCCCCCCAGCACGCGCGCAAAGGCGTTCGGATGATGTCGACGTGCGTGCGCGCGAGGCCCTTCCTGTATTATTCGATGATCACGTTGAAAAGCCGACGGTTTTCTGA